TTCTCCTCGATTTCTTGCGGGAGAGGGAATGCTGGACAAACGAATTATGGTATGGCGAACTCTATAATGGAGAGAATTTGTGAACGTAGAGCAGCGAACGGTCTACCAGGACTGGCTATTCAATGGGGCGCGATAGGAGAAGTTGGTCTTGTTGCTGAATGGCATGACAACAATAAGGAACTCGTCATTGGCGGTACTTTGCAGCAAATGATATCTTCCTGCCTTAAAAAGTTGGAGATCTTCTTGTTGCAGAATCGCCCAGTGGTATCTAGCATAGTGGTAGCAGAGAAGCGTGTAGGTGCTTATGGAGCCGACATTGTAGAGTTCGTAACAAATATAATGAGTAAGATTGTTGTTATTTTAAAATAATTTCCTAGAAGAAAATAAAAAAGAGGAATCTATAGTTTATATGTATTATGCAGATGAGGATATTAGTTTTGGTTTTAAATCTGTTTAAGCATATTGATTGAATTAATATTTTATTTTTAGAATAAAAATCATATTTTATTATTTATTTATTGTTTCCACCAAACATATGCACATCTTAAAAAATTAACGAAGATTGTTCCAAATAAGATTATTGATATGCTGTGTCATTGTTTACAAATATAGGTACCGATAATCAAATTTAATTTACATCTCTTGATATACTCTTGCAGATATGAAAGATAAGACTGTGGATCAGAACATATCATTAGTCGAACTCGGTATGGATTCAATGATGACCATAGAGATTAAACAAACACTAGAACGTAAATACGAGATCTTTCTCACCGCACAAGATATTCGCAATCTAAACTTCGCTAAATTAGTGGAGATGCGCGATAAGGATTTGGAACGACAGAAAGCACAGAAATCAGAAACCAATGAACAGACACTCGAACTATCTGACATACAATTAATGCTTCAGATTTTATATAACGTAGATTTGCCTACTGAGACCTGTATAGAATTACAAACTAAGATGGATCCGCGCAAAATAAAAGTGTTCCTCTTGCCGAGTATACATGGTTGTGGACAAATATTTAATCCACTAGCATCAAAGATCAGACCTTTCGCAACGGCTTTGCAATATGGATTGGTGAATACTATGTCTATACCAGAATACGCCGATCATCTTTTACCAGTACGTATACACGGAAGAATATAAATGATAAATAAAATGAGATATTCATTCAATATTTCTTTTTTACGAATTCTTTCTGAAAGATATTTACCTTTACGCAGTCTGACACACGTTTAATTGGAATTTTCAGTATATCTTGCCAAAAGCAGAAGAGCAAAGAGGTTTTGCCATAGTCGGATATTCGTATGGTTCGTTAATTGCTCTCGAATTAGTGAAACGATTGGAAAAACATGGTTTATGTGGTCGACTAGTACTGATTGACGGTGCTCCTGAGCTATTGAAAACAATATTAGAGCAATTCCTTCCAGCTACTACAGAAGAAGAACTTCAAAATAATATCTTGCTTTCTATCATGGATACTGTACAATCAGCTTCAAGCGGAAAGGTAGATTTTATTAACGGTTACTAAAATACTATTTTATTGTCACGATCTTCTATTGTCAATATCCCATTTATTTTTCTTTTACAGCTACTTTTAGATCTTGAGAAATGTACAACCTGGGAAGAAAAATTAAATGTTTTCTTTTCGCATGTTCCTGACAAAATATCGCTTACCAAAACGCAGAAAAAATTGTATACAAATATTTATATGCACATTCTCGCTCTTCGAAAGTACGACTGGTCATCCTTGGGATGGATACGATCATCTATAACACTTTTGAAATCCACAAAATCATCTGTCGATATGATCGAAGAAGATTATGGTTTACACAAGGTAATATGTCTCTGTATATTTTTTACGAATATTCGATTTCAATTTCTCATAATCGATGTCTAATAACAGGAATAAAATTTTTCAGATCACGCGCGACAAGGTAAATATACATTATGTTGAAGGCAACCATGTGACGATATTGGATAGCGACAAGGTCATAACTGCGATCAATGGAGAATCATTGCAGGATCCTAAAGAATTCAGGAAAATTTTAACAGAAGATAGACCAATAGAAGAAAAAGAACGTACAAGAGTCTGAATTACAATTTAAGAGTCGACAGGAGAGATCTCTAGTCGAGGATAAATTTTTTTATATCGAAATTACGGTTAAAAATACTGGATGATCACGTTTTAATTGTGATATTCGTAATCAAGAAAGGCTCCTGAAGGTTCATACAAAGCGATTTTTTGTAAAAAGAGAAAAATAAAATAATTTGTTCTGATATCTGACTCGATATGTACTATTGTGCAATTGAGGTGTATATGATCGTGTTAATAAAAATTTTCAAAAATCAATTTACAAAATCGGCTCTGTACGAGCCTTCCTAGTAATATAAAAAAGAAATTCTAACTTCCATAAAAAAATAATATTTTTTCAAGAAGAAAAATAAGCATACTTAGATCATCAAAATTGCACATTCTGCTACAGCTAATCATAGAGAAATTCTTCGCATTGAATTGAACAAAGAAAGGTAATAAATTTCCTTGTCTTAATGGCACTGACAATTTTCACTTTCGATGTGCCGAGAACGAACTAAATAGCATAAGACAACTTGTTGAAAAAAACCCTCTTTCGATCTGTTGCGCTTAGTAGAAACGACCGAAGACCGAAAATATTTTCTCGAGCGATTGACCACTCGGTGTATAAGGGCATTCGAGATAACATATAAGTTTTAATAAATTTTAGTAATCATATATCTTTCCCATTAATGTATAATAGCACAAATGATTTCAAAATGCAGTAATTTGTGAGATATTAATTATTTACGATTTTTTAATGGGAGTTATAAATACTGCGTTTATAAATACAGTAAGAATTTCAGAATTGTAATTGTGTGCATAAGGTGCGAAATTAGTATGCTGGAGATCCCACATTCTGATCCTATATTTTTTTTCCTTTTTTCACATATTTTTTCTGAAATAAAGTTATTAATAAACATATTAGGGCGAGCATATTTCTATATAATTGTTGAAATTCGTGTATTTTTAAAAGTTTTAAACCAACAATCAAAATATAGTCAAACGTTAGAAAAAATGTAGATAATATCAGGAGACTGTGTTATTAAATATATTTCTTTAGATATTTTTACTGGTCTAATACTATAAATTGATAAAAAAAAATCAAATCAAATTTTAACAAAAAAGAATCTGATTCTAATATTTAGAACTCATTACTTATTGGCAAAAATTAATCTAAAACTAATCTTAAACTATACAAATATATTTTTTCAATGAATAACAATTAATAATTATCAAAAATAAGGCATTTATCTAGATTTTGTAAAGCTTAAGAAATATTTTATAAAGCTTAAGAAATAAAGTAATTAATAAATGTGAACTGACAATAATTTTTTTATTCTGATATTAGATAAAGATATTAAAACTCTGATGCAATTTTATTATCATAATCGTAATTTAATGCAAAACTAATACATACATGTATCATTTTATACCAATCATTCATAATAAACGCTCATTATGTGTTATCATTTATATTATCTCGCTTTATACATAATCATTATCTTTCATTCTCAATACTACATGCAAAACACAAACTGAAAAAAAAAATTATTAATATTTAACTAATAATATTTAACTAATTTCTTCTATTCTAAGAATCTTTATTCAATCATCGATTTTTCTTTAAATTAAGATTTTTTTTGCATATTTTTTTATTACTAACATTTGCTGTGTAATAAAAGTCAATGTATGGATATAAAAGACAAAATGCAAAAGGTATTTTTATTTTATGTTTGTGCTATTAGAAAAAAAATCGATTTTCGAATAAAGAAAATATTCGAATCCAATATACATATTTCTTCATAATAATAATTTCTTTCATAATAATTTTATAATAATAATTTCTAATATATAATTTCTAATATATTAATTACATAAATGATATAAATAAGAAATTGTAACAAAATAATATACAATAAAGAATACATATATAATGAAACACATGCTGTATTTAAGGCTCTTGAATAGTTACAGTCATATAGAATTGTAATGTCAAAAGCGAGAAATGACTGTTAATTTTATATGCCATTTGTAAATAAAGACGAGTTGGATAAAACAAAATGCTGAGATTATTTTAAAATAATTGTAAAAATGGACAAAAGCTATCCTTATTCCTAACAGTAAATAATCGTAAATAAAAAGTGATAAAAGACATGTGAAAGTGCTTTTACTCAATACACATACGTAGTCTATTTTCACTTTAACGCATGGAATAAGAAAGGTGAGCTATTCTCATGGATACATAGTAGCCTAAAAATAATGGGAAGCTAACAGCCAATCACATTGGACTCCAATCATTTAATTTCTGCTCAGCATTATGTGCGTTTGAAATTTGCGCGCTTCATTGAGATCCAAAGATTGGTTGTCATTTTGTGTCCCTCATTCTTTGTTTGTCATTACGCAATAGCTTACTTTTCTTATTCCACCATGCTTTCACATGCCTTTTATTACTTTTTACTGACTGTCTGGAGAGAGATAAATATAGTTTTTTTCGTTTCCATTTTTATATATTATTATTTTAAAGCGATATCATTTGTTTTATCCAAATAGTCTTTATTTATAAATGGCACGTAACAAAAATTAACATGTCATTTTTGACGTCACAATTCAATATGACTGTAGTGACTATTCAGGAACCTTAAATAGCGAAATTATAATAAGACGTATTAAGATGATGTGAAATTCATAATTATCAAATGAAAATAATATATTAGAGATGTGTTTCAAACTCACTCAGATGCATCACTCAAATGATTATTATACAGTAGGAGAAACTGCAAACACATTTTATCCTTTATCCTACTCTAGTTTACATTTTGCAGATTATTGAAATCTTTTTCCAATTTAAAGTACAATATTTATATTTCTTTTTCGTTTTCAACATATTTGGAGATAAAATATGCAGTACTAAAAAGAGTCTCATAACTCCATTGGCTCGAATGCTGATCTGGCACTGGATAATATGTTATTTAGATCGGGAATAGTAACATTATTGTTGTTATTATTGTCGTCAGATGTATTCGGAATTGGCGTTGGAGTATCTCTCGTTGGTAGGATACGGAGATGTCTATTTGGTGGTTCCCAAAGAACCAGAGCCATAGAAGGTCTCTCTCTATAAGAGAAAAAAATAAACAAGAAAACACATTTTTTCTTTTCAGTGCTCTCTCTCTCTCTCTCTCTCTCTCTCTCTCTCTCTCTCATTCATTCTTTTTCAAAAAACATTGCATTTTTATATTTTCATATTTTTAAATCATATATAATCAGTGTATATTTACAATTTAGATATAAGAGTCGATGGCAAAATAGGTTCCTCTTGCATTCGCTTGAGTTCCTCTGAAAGGACCAATCTTGGATGTAGATTGCTTGTTTGTTCTGTATTTAATGCATTTGTTGCATCGACATCCAAATCCATATTTAATGGCTTATAACAGGAAGATGATGTATGAACAGTAGAAGTTGATGGCACCGGATTCTCGGATTCATAATTAGAACTAATGTGCAGATCTTTAAAATGTGCAGCTATTTTTTCTTCTGTTATAAACTGCTTTGTTTGACGCCTATTTGAATAACATATTATTAAGATTTTACTACATAATTAATCAGTAGACGACATATATAAAGTACATTACACTCACGTATCTACAACATCTGGTGCTTCTAATTTTCTTTTCTGATGAAGTATTGGTCCAGAGCTGGTCTCTCCAGTAAATCTAACCAATTCTGATTGATGTAATGCTGGTACACTCCAGGGAATAGTTATTGGTGGTACTTGTGGTGTTTGCATCCATGGTCCAATCTGTTGTAGATTCTGTTGCTGCTGTAAATTCTGTTGGTTCATCATCTGTTGTAAGATGGACTGTGGTGTATATAAGTGCGCTCCACCCATAGTATTCTGAAAAATAAACATATAAATAAAAAAAGATATACAGAATAAAGAATTTTTTTTTAAATATCATATATAGCAAATTTAGTTATTTACATGTTTTATTTTAAGATTGCAATTTTTCAAAGATACAAAGTTGTCAAAAGTAACAGTCCTAATTTGAATTATTCTGCATTATTATTAATATTACTATATATGAAATTAAGTTAATAATAAAAATATATAATAAATACCCTATCAAAAAATTTAAAATATAATAATACCACAAAATATAATAATACACA